CGGACATCGAGCGTGAGGTACAAACACGCGTGTGTGTGTTACAAACACGGGGACATCGTTTTTAATCAATTCAACACTACCAACATGAACCCCAAACACGAACTTCCCGCCGCGAATGGCCGGGAACAGACATTAAATATAATATGCGGGCCAAATAACAGGTATAGGCAATTACTCGGGGGCTCGAAAGCGTGGGAATACCTACATAGGAGGCTGGCATGGATGGCGCTAACTATCCCAGGGGGCAGGAATTATCCCAGGGTCACGGAAACCACTAGCATATGACTGTTCTCGTTACAGGCGCTTAACCACCGCCTGTGGTTGATTAACCACCGAGATATATACGGCCCATCAAAGTGCGCGCAATAAAGTGCGCGCGCGATACACACACGCGCTTTTTCTTAAGAAAAGGAATAATATCCGATTTCTTCACCTATCGAGACAATGATCCTCATCAAATCTTCACGAGCTCCACGTCAGAATTTCAGGATGATCTAGAAAGCCTGGATGCGGAAGCCGAGACGGTGGCTACATGGGACGAAGCCGAAGGCATTGGACACTGAATCGACTCGGATCCAAAATATTAGGGCTGAATTAGGGCTGAAAATAGGCCGTCAGACTAGGAGGACATGGCTTTAGGACATCATTGCTTGAATAAAAGATCGGAACACAAATAGAGGCCGGTAGGTGCGGAGGAAAAGGGAGAAGAATCGTCCGTCTACGGTCCCTTGCTTGCTGTTCTCGAAACAGTGGCTTCTCCGAGTGTTAGATTGACGAACAAGAAATAATACTTGGGCTGAAATATTTGCACGTGTGAGTGAAACGTTGCCCGCGGTGGTAGAGGAGTACGACGCTCGGTATAGGAGGATTGACCGCGGCTCGGGGTTGTACAAGCCGTGACATTGAGCACACATACCCAGCATAGAAAATTCTTCATCCACCCGACGTCGGATAAGATTTTACTGGCACTGCCCGGTCAGCAGCGTTCCGGTTTGACGATCGACTTGTGAATCAAAACCGCACAGTCTCGGGAAGGGCACCCTATACCTTTTGGCCGATGTACATTCCAACGGAATTGAAGTACATTTCAACCGAGTAGTGAATGACAGCACTATTATTCCCCAGAGAAAAACAAAGGCATTGCCCCCCCGTGGAACAGCGGCACGGCAGGTCCCGTGGTTCTCCAGAGGCCGCAACGTCGCCAAACTGCAACGAATGCGTGAGCAGCTGTCATGGTGATTGTGGAAGATAACGCGACGCAGAGCTCCGGTTGTCACACTAGTTTCCTTGTCGTCACAAGCACCTCATCACAAGCCCCCTGCCGGTACGAGCATCCCTGTCAAGCTCGTACTGGTCGCCCGAGAGCTGGGTCAGAGCTCGTCGTGTGACTGCTCATCATCGCACGAGGAGGGTGTCGCCAATGTGAGAAAGTGGCTGAAAGTCCGCTTCTTCCCCGTCACAAACATGCAGGCCGGGATCACCATGCCGCTAAATCCTCGTATGTGATCGCTGAAGGCTCTGGAGTTCCCCATTCCTGCCCAGATGTGGCCGCAAATCCGCCTGAACGTGTTGCACGCAAGCGGTGTGTTCAGAGCAATGCCACAGTTCGCTGCCGCCAAATCATTCTCGTAAGCGATAAGGCGCTGTTCGCATATTTGGGACCATCCACTCGGTGGTCGCAAAAAGTATTTGACGTAGTTCGGACCACATTCAATGTTGCCCAGGTCCGGGACTTGCGACAACCCGTCTGATGTCAGGCTCGAGTTCGCGGCCGCAACAGCCACGGCGTCCAACAGGGCGTGTGTAGCGAAAGCCACGCCCACCTTTTTGACCTCAGCGAAAAAGTCCTTCGCAAGCTCGCGCGGGAGAGACTCCTTCACCATCTCGACCATCCCACAGGACTCAGACCATGATGGGCTAACTTGTCGGCCTGCTACAAGCCTCCATTCCTGTGCCGAAGTAGTTGTCGAAGTAGGAATTCGTCGCGCTTGCTCCAATGCTTGTTGTATCGCAGCTCTGGCCGATTGGCGCGGAAACTGTGAAAACAGAATCTTTGCGACCTGCCTGCGAGCCCGGCTAGTGCTCTTCACGGCCGCTGTAACGTCCTCCTGATTTATTGTCTCTCCAGCCACACTCTCTTGCAGCGTAGCAGACATCTGCTCTTCGACTTTCGACAGTACAAGCCTAGCGAATCGCACGGCCTGGCTGTAAGAATTAGACCCCCACACGATCTCGAGTGCGTTGCAATCCTTCACAACGTCACAGGTGGGCAACGAAACACCTGGAGGGACCCCCACGTTCACTCTCACCCCCTTAGCGTGCTTTCGACCTTGCCCTCGAGGTAGCTGAAATTCAGCAGCCACTTTAACGCATCCGTCCGTCGGGGCCGCACTAAAATGTCCATTTTGTAAAACTGTCAAAGCAGCCATTAACGCGTCCACTACCGATCCTAGTTGCCCCCATCCTGGTTGCCCCGAACTCCTCAACATTTTTGTTAAATTTTCCCAACTGAGCCGATGTGCGTCTGAGTCTCAGCCGATGTGCGTCTGAGTCTCAGCCGATGTGCGTCTGAGACTCAGACGCACATGGATCCTCATGTCGGTCTCCTGTCGAGCTTTCACCATTTCCAACGGTAATCCCCTCATGGTTCTTTTTTTGGGACTCAACAAAATAAGTAGGGTCCAGCAACGGTAGGGTCTGTCATTCGTCCAACAAAGGGGAACAGCAACTGAAGGGTCGCAGTGCGTCTCAGAAGATTTAGATTATACCCGGCGGCTCGGTAACCGACAATAGATTTAGAAAAGGGGGAATTTTGAAGGGGAAAATCACTAACACTATGAGCCACAAAGGAACGTCCGGCCCCGACCTCGCAAACACTTCAACCCGTATCCTGACAGACCAAAACCCCGATACCGAGCCCACTCTACCCAGTGAGGTGGGTGACGCATCATTCATGGCGACAGCTACTGGATGCCGTCATCGATGGGTTTGGCCACAATCACAGAGGGACGCGTGGGACGCCGAGCTCCTCAAGCTGAACCCAAGTAGGTTCGATATAGCGCCCCCCAACAAGGATTCCTCCCCAGAAGCGGAGCAGAGGGCTTTCAAGCGAATAGAGGACAAGCTCTCCACATTCACTTTTAACCCACGAAACTCCCGCGAATTTGAAGAGGGCATAACGAAGATGGCTCGTGCCACCAAGGACGAAAGAGCCACCCTGGCCACAGTAATCCGGATACTCGACGAGAAGTCGGACCCCCGCTGGGGAGACAGACTCCAGAGGGCCCGAAACCTCGTAGACGAAACCACGGTAGACATCGAGACCCTAATAGACAAATGGTATTGCGTAGGCGGACTACCCGCGGTGCAAGACCTGATGGCAGCAGAACGGGAGCTGCTCGACACGACGTGGCCCCGTAGCGGCCCGTTGCTCGATTTCATTGACGACCTGCGGAAACTCATTTCACTAGCATGCAACCTCCGCCATCGCTTGGGACATCCGCCCTGGTACTACTCAGAAGTCGTTGCGCAGCGTATAAGGCTCACCGCCCCACAAGGGGCCGTAGTCCCCACTGACCTCACGCAGTTGTCGGACCTGCTAGAATGGATGACATAAGAGGCAACCGAAGATAACTCCAGAGCGTACGCAGCGCAGACAGAACGGGCATCACAGCACGGAGCAGAGAGCGCCCAGCCAAGGGCAGCCCCTCCGACTCGTCAGCGACCGCGCACAGCACGTCATCCGTGCTATCAATGCAGCAGCCCTGACCACCCGTGCTCGTAATGCCCAGTAGTACGACCCCTGTGCGACAACTGCAATAAAAGTGGGCACTGCACCAAAGCATTCAGAACAGTCGTCCACAGGGACCCTCAAGGGCGAGTAATTGGGGCCACCACGGTAGCCTTCTGGGCCCCAATGCCTGGAGGAGGAGACCTCCTAATACCACCCGACGTAGCCACAGAGCTAGGGATAGGCAGAGAAAACCCCGCCTGCAATACCAACTCGGTACGCTTAGTCGACGAGATGCAGAATTGGTCGCAGCGCCAGAAAGTTGGTCAAAGGCATGTGCACCCACCTAGACGAGGCAACGTTCACAGCCTATGGGACATACTGGCCCAGCACAGTAAATGCTGGCTCAGACCCAGAATAGGCCAAGTAAAGGTCAAAGCACGATTCCGAGTCCGAAGGCAAACCCCCCAAGGCCGGTCTCAAGCCAATAAGGCCAGAGCTGCAAAGAGAACTGGACCGGCAAGTAGACGACATGCTTGGTATGGGAGTAATAGTCCCGTCGGAATCGCCTTAGAGAGCAAGTCCCGTCGGAATCGCCTTAGAGAGCAAGACCAGTCT